TTTCGTAATATCAATAAAAAGTTTTTTTTTACTATTTGAAGTTCGAAAACTTTTTAATTGATCATGACAAATAATTATTACCTTTTTTTCGAACGATGTATTGATGATTTAGGTGGTGGTGTTCGTGGACCACGATCATGTTTTTGTTCAGATGATGATGATGATGATATCGATGTTTGTCGTTTATGTTTTTGTTCACGACTAGATCGATTTCGATTTGATATTGAATTTCTAAATATAAATAAAATACAAAATAATTTGTTTATTTCTTCTTTAATTTCATATCACAAATATTTTTTTTTTTATATAGATATATAAATCTATAGCAGATCGGAAAAAACCAACCTTTATATATATTCCATAATATTCTCCAAGGACTGTCTGCTTTGAAAGAGAAAAAGAAATTTAGATTATGATATGAGCAGTTGTGACATAATCGAAACGATCAATATATGATGAGAAGAAAAGAAAAGATGAATGACAACGAACAATTTGATGTAGTGTTGATGTTTTTTCTTTTAGTTTTCGTACCTGTGCCGACTACGACTACGACTTCGTCGATGATGTGATGATGCAGATATATTTGATGTATAACGATTAATACCAGATGATGAATACATATTTCTATAGGCACGTGATGATGATGATGATGCTGATGATGATGGTGGTGGTGTTGAAGGAAGAAAAGCTGGTGGTGGTAGTCGTTGCATTAAATATGGATCACCATATGTTCGATAATAAGCTGGATCATTATACATAGCTGGATGATGATAACATATATCTTGTGAACGTAAATGATGCATCGATGGTAAACGAGCATTTTGTTTAAATGATGGTGGTGTTAAAGATCGACCACGAGATGTCGTCATAGGATTAGTTGTCATTGGTAATGGATAATGTTGATAATAATTTTGACGAAATACTTGCATAGGTGGTAAACGATTAGCTGTTACCTATTGAAAAAAAAAAAAAACACATATTTCAAACAATAAAATTTTTGTGAGAATTGAAAAATTTAAAGTGAAATTTTTTTTTTAATATATGTTCAGATGAACTGATGAAGAATATGTTTTCCTCGAATTTCATAACTATATTATGTAAAAAAACCATGTATAATCGAATTTTCTAAATTTAGTTTTCCAAAAAATGAAAATCTTTGATAATTTGTCGATTATTAAAAATTGACTACTTCATTCAGATAAAATATGTCATCGAAAAAAAATCATTCATATTTTTAATCACTTCATCACATTCTATATTTAAAAAATTCTACTTTAACTTAACATTCTCTGCAATAGTAATAAAAAAACAAATGTTTTTGATTTAAACCTGTAAATGACTATATAAAATCGATGTTGGTGAACGATCACGAGATAATGGACGTCGATTATCACGTGATGTTTTATCTGATTTAGCATATTCAACACGAAGTTTTGAACCATTTACTGTTTTATTATTTGTATGTTCTAATGCACGTTGTGCATTAATTGATGATGTAAATTCAACAAAAGCAAAATGTTTTTTTTCATCAATATATATTGTTGATATTTCACCATATTTACTAAATAAACGATTTAAATCCGATTTACGATTATCACCTAAATCACCAACAAATAATTTTAATGATCCATTTGAAGAACGCATCTAGTTCTTTCTTTTTTTTTTGATTTTCGATTATTTGAATATAAAAAAAATAACAATCATATACATAACAACAAAAACGAGAAATTTATTGGCGATAGTAGCGCTCAATGAATATTAAGAAAGAATATATATATATATATTAAAGGAGGTCGATACCTGTTTGAGTTATAATCGAATCAAAATGGCGACATGAAAATACCAATTTAGTTTGGATTCTATTTATTATTTAATTCATATTATTTTTATGATGAAGAAAATTTCTTTAATTATTTGATGTTTTTATTTTAGATTTTCTTGTTGACACTATGGCACCGCCAAAAAAAGTCGCCGGAGTATGTTGAAGTTTTTTTTTTTTGATTTTGATTTTAATAATTCATATTGTTTTTTTGTTAATATAGAAAAAACAAGCTGAGACAATCAATCAACGTCTTCAACTTGTTATGAAATCTGGTAAATATGTTCTTGGCTATCGTCAAACATTAAAGGCATTACGAAATGGCCAAGCAAAATTAATTCTTGTTTCAGCTAATACACCACAAATTAGGTTAGAAATATTTTGTTATTTGAAAAAAATTCAATACTTTTTTTATTATTATTATTCAATAGAAAAAGTGAAATTGAATATTATGCTATGTTAGCTAAAACTGGTGTACATCATTATAGCGGAAATAATATTGAATTAGGTACAGCTTGTGGTAAATATTTTCGTGTTGGTATTCTTGCTATAACTGATCCAGGTGATTCAGACATTATTCGAACAGTACCAGGCGAACAATCGACTACTATTGCAACATCATAAGCATAAAAATATGTTAATGATTTTCTTGAACTTATGTTTTTGTTTTTTTGTTTTTTTATCGTTGCAAGATTTCTATCGGTTGTTTTTTGTTAACAAGAATTATGAAAAAGAAGAACAATAACGAAACATCATGAATAAAAAAAAAAGGCAACAACAAACAAATATATATATATTTGTCTTCCATTAAGAAAGAAAATTTTAATTTGTATATGAAACTTTCAATTATTAAGATCATTTCTAGAAATTTGTTTTTTTTTGTTATAAAACTATATCAAGTTGTTATTTCCTTTCAAAGAAACATCTATGAAATTATACAATCGAGTCAATATAATACAGATAAAAAATGTGATTCAAAAAATCGATGAAGTTTTCTATCAAATTTATTCCGTACTGAATTTTCATAGGTGGACTATCAGAGGAATGTTTCTAAATAAAATACGAAAGTTGTCGCATCTCCTACGATCTTCTATTTAAAAAAAAATATGAGCACGACAAAAAACAACTACGTTTTTGAGCAATTTTGCTTATAACTTTTTAAGAGAAGGTCACAAGAAAATCAGCTATTTGTCATTTTATTCAGGATGTTATGCTCTTAAAAACTAACTTCCATAGTTCACCTATAAAGTTTTGGTATATCTAATGCTTTTAATAGAAAACTTCATTTGACTATTTAAACTTTAATATTTGATAATCATGACTATGATGAAAATATATCGCTCATAATGCAATGCTTTTCCGTTAATAAAAAAAATGATATTATTTAACGACAAGTTATTTTCATAAATAAAGTTTTATTTGAAATTTATTTTAAGAATGATATAATCGTTTATTTGATAATGATTAAAATTTTTTTTTTTTTTTTCGAGAATTTGAAGATAAATCTAAAGACAACGATCAGAAATTAATAAATAAATTAAAGTAAGGTAACAAGTATTTTCTCTAGAGAAAAATATTTTTTTTTGAAAAATTTCCCTGAAGCATATATACATACACAAGAGATTCGATATTTTTTTTTTACTTACTAAATAATAGGATAAGATAAAATACTTTTTTTTTGTTAAACATTAACTGTAAGTACTTTTTCTTTTAACAAAAAAAAAACATAATAAATATTATTTTATTATTATCAAAAAAAATTACAAATCAAATATAAAATGAAATATTTAAATTTTCTTTTCTTTCGTATGTATTTGTTGTTTTATATTTATCTAGTGAACAAATGTCTTTCAATGATGCGTAGGCAAATCTTAAATTTTATTTTAAATGATAAACTAACAAATTTTACATTGAAATATCAATATTGATGTTAATAAAGGTCAATATAATAAAACAGAATATATTTGAATATGATCGAATTATAAAATCAAATTAGATAAAATAAGCTTAGTTGAATTGATCAACACATATGACATGGGATTTTGCAAAAAGAAAAAAAGAATATTCTTAATAAGAAACATTATGGTATAGAGTAGAATAAATAGATTGCGTCTCATATTATACCACACGGATGTACGACATTTATGTTTTCTTGTTTTTCCCAATCTTTTATCTCTTTAAGCAAGAATGATTGTTTATATATATACCTCTAATGTAACAAAAAGTACTCTTTAACATGTTACAAAATTAAGTATACATAGTTTTTTTTTTCATACCAATATGATCAAATTTCTTCGCAATAGGTAATATGCAAATATCAAATTTAATGCTTTCTTCAATTAAATAATCATGAATCAGTATTCTTAATAGAATGTAACTGTTGTTTTATTAAATTCAATTTAACAAATTTTCGTTTATATATTATAATATGGTAAATAGTGAAATATTTTATTTTAACTTTTTTTTGACTTAATCAATATAGATTTCACTACATAGATTACGTTTGAAAAATATGTTTGCATCAAATAAATTTTATTCATATAAACAAAGACAGAAAATTCAATTGGTTCAAATTAAAGATTTCTTAGCGACTCTATCATATATGCATAATGAAGGATGTGATTAGATAATCTGTCACCTGCTGTTTTCTTTTTCATTCATCGTTAATAGAAAAAAAAACGAAATGTATGTTATGTAGCATAAAACTGATTCATCTATAATGTCAACAGATATAAAAATATTCTTAATGAATTCTCTGCCACTTTTTATTCGTATCATTTTATAATATGTTCTTTCTTTTCTTTTTAAAAAAAAATTATGTTCTTTATTCTCTCTTATTCAAATATTTGACATAATGTATTACATAAAACGAATACTTTAAAATGAAGAACATGATTTGATAGAAGATACAAGAATTTGATGTTCTAAATGAATACATCTTTTTCGTAGATAAAAAGATATTTTTTTTTCTCAATTTACTACCTGTGAAGTTATTTGTCAATACATGTACACTCACTTGTCCTTCATTCTACACCAATATAAACAGTATAACTACAATGAAAAAAAAAAACAATGATGATATACTTTGATGTTTACAGGCTACTTTTCATCATTCCAGCACGTTTTCTCTCGTTCTATTCGCATCATGATCAGGTAAACAATAACATCATCCGATTCAAATATGATTTCATTCAAATCAAAAAAGAAATATCATCATAAAATATTTCAACGTTCATCATTATTTGTTCGTTTTAAATCGTAAGATTTAATTTAATTTGTAATGACTAGTTTGTTTATCTATTTTTTTTTTTTTTCTTACTAGCAGCAAACATCGTCTAAAATCTGATTTCGAATTTAATGAAAGACGAAAAAAAAAATTTCATTTTAGATTATTTTTTAATAATCTCTATCGAATATATCATGGATTATGTGTAAGTGTGTCATTTCTTGTTCGTTTTTTTATTTTTATTGATCGTATAACACGAAAATTGATTATATTTATTGAAACATTAATTCAAATTATTCGTATTGTTCATGGTTGGATACAAATGATAAGATCAATATTTTCAGCAATTCATCTTATAGTATCACGTTTAATGATGTTTTTATTTAAAATTTATCAAATATTTTATTTATTATCAGTTTTATTTGAACCATTTTGGAATCGAACTTTTGAAAAAGCTGTACGTTCTTTTTCACATTTTATTTATGAATATTATTCATCAAATGGAGCTTGTTATACATTAAAAGCTCGAACAACTCATGTTATTGGAAAAATAAGAGCAAAATGGAAAAAAAACTCGATAATTGTTGTCAATGATGATGATATTTATTATGATGCTCTTAATGAAGAATATCAATAATATTCTTTTCTTATTAAAAAAAAAGAAATTTTTTTCTTTTACATTCAATATCTTTATAATCGTTTGTAAAGTGATTCTGTTTTTTTTTTCGTTTATATTTTATTGTTATTTTTTTTTAAAGTTTTATGCTCAAAACAAATAGATTATGAAAAAAATCTTGTGTGAAGTCAGAATACAACTGTTAGAATACCGACAGTTTGAGGCATTAAAAATTGTAGCAGAAGTTTCATCATTGAATTTTTAGTGCTCATCTAGTTGTTAGTTGTTTTGAATTAAAAAAAAAATGCATTTTGCATGAATTTTCTTCGATGCGGGAAGTCGAACATAATTCCAAAGAGACAAATTCTCTACTTGTTATATGGCATAGTGTATTCAATTAATATTTTTCAAATTTAGAGAATTAGAATTTCATATAAAAAATGAAAATAGGAAGACTTCAATGTTATGTATCTATCAGAAGTAGGATAAGTTAGTGTTTATTTTGAACCGTACTGATCTTTTCTCTGATGTTTATTATACGATGATAGTATATGAATACCAATATAAGGCAAGATTCGTTCTGTTTTGTTTCTAATTTTACTTGGATGATTAATTAAGAAATAAACCAATACGATAGAGTTAAATTTTTTTAATTGTTTTGCTAATGATAGTTTAATCTAGAATTTGATAGTTTAAATTGAGCTTCATCGGAAGAATCTAAAATTATAAACTTAGAAATAATTTTAATTCGAGGTTAGATTTATTTCAGGATAACACTAATTCATATACGATTATCAAAAGAAATCGTCAAAAAATTTGTAATTAGATTGACTTCTCTAACACTGTTAGATTAAATGAATTAGTATTCGAACAGGATTGTTTGTTTCTGCATATTCATGTGTATTCTATTAATGTTGAGTGTTTATACAATCAAAGACAAAAAGAATGTGGAAGTACTGAGAAAATTACGATTGATTCTTTTGCTGCTAGTTAATTCTATAGCAATTCACAGTTGTATAATATCCTGAGGGATCTATTCTCTAGCCTTCATTTCAAAATTATATTGTGCAAAAACATTTAACACAAATTAATTTGTTTCACGGTAAATTTTTGATTCAGAAAAAGGGTTGAATTGTTTCTAGCTATTTGTTGATGAAAGCAAACAAAAAAAAAAACTTGATCTTGTTCATTTCTTTTTTACCTGATAATAGTTGAAAATAGATTCTTCCACTCTGAAAATATTAGATCAATGAGAATACGAAGAATATCTTATCAAAAAGACTTTATTTTGTTATAGACGTTTTCTTTCTCAAACTCTACATCCATTATCTATATTTTGTGATGTGATAATCTCGAAAACGGTACTAGAATCGTTGAGATCTCTATTTGATTCAAATTAGCGAGAATGGAAAATTTTACAGTTTTTTCTTTATCACGGATTTATACAATAATTTTATTCACAGCATACATAAAGTCCTTCGCGAGTTTGCTTTTCCTTTTAGCTTCTCGGCCTACGCATCAAACCTTTTCATTTTGTATTCTGATGATCTCAAGATCAGAAACTCAGAAAATACTCCTTCAATCATGAAGTTAAAGTATCGAGATCGAATCGATACAATTTTTTCCTAATCTCCCGAAGAACACTGCATTCGCTTACAAATATCACCCCAAAGGACCAGGGTGTGCATGAATGAGCGTGCTCCCTTCAACCACACCAAATTGTATCCACGAAAACATCACGAGAAGAAAAAAAACATTCAGACATCATAGAAGCAAGTGAAGTGCGACAGTGTATAGCAATAGTTCTAGTGAGTTTCTTTTCTTTTTCATTCTTTCATTTTATTGTGAGACTCCAGATAATAACAGATAAATAAAAGAAGCACCTCAGTGACACAAAGCTAAACAAAGCTCCAAGACAACGAAAATGAAAAACAAATAGAAGCTTCTAGATAAAATTTCAACATACTCTATCAACTCAAGTCATTTTATTATTTTTTTTTTCATTGATAAAATACAACACACCATGGACAAACAGAAAAAGTCGACAAAAACTGATGCTCCATATGCTCGTATGACCCAGAACTTCGTGCTAATGTGGCTCGATGCCAATATCGATGAGACAAGCAACAACAGTTGTATTCATTTCATCAGCAAGGTAGAAGAAATAATGAACAAGATATATCAGTTCACTGATGTGAATGAATGTGCCGATTTTATAACGGATATTCAACAAGAGAAAAAATTTATAATAGTTTCTGATATTTTCGAGCAAACAACTGTTCCCATCGTTCATGAAATTCCACAAATCACTACTATCTAGATTTTAAGCAAGAATTCAGTCTGGCATAAAGGTTGGTTCAATCAATGGCCAAAAATAAAAGGAGTTTTTACAGATATTACTTTTATATCTGTAAAGATCTTCAACATGCGGCAAAAGAATGTGATCAAAACATGATTCCGATCAGCTTTATTTCCTCATCTAGTGAAAGCAGCAAGCAAAACCTCGATGAATTGGATTCATCATTTATGTACACACAAATAATGAAAGAAATTTTCTTAACCATCGATTTCAAACAATAAAATATTGATGAATTTACTACTTACTATCATCAATTATTTGCCACGAATCCAAGAGGACTTCAAAAATTTAGACAAAATCCAACGAGAATACCATGAACATGTGCCGATATGATAGTATACGTATCAATCTTTTCTTTTATTCAATGTTAAATCGATTGTTACGCATGATGGAGGTTGATATCATCATTAAAATGGGATTTTTCATTCGAGATCTCCACAACAACATCATCAAACTTTATGCACAACAGTTTACTGGACATTCAACGTCCAATTCCTTTACTGCTTATCGTGGTTACAGTGGAAGCCTTCAAGTCTCACTCAGATTCGCTCATAGAATGATTCAAACATTCGATCTTGTTGGTATCTTATTCGTCATGACGATTCATCCGTCCATCGGGTTAATTCAATTTGCTGACGTCCACGATGTTAGTTGTGTAAAACGAGAAAAAGAAATTCTTTTCTCAATGCGTTCCGTTTTTCGTTTTGGAGCTATGAAACAAATCGAAGGAAATAATCGTTTTTGGCAAGTCGATTTAATACTGACAACGATCCAGAACGCCATACTCTTACTGAACAATTGCACCAAGAGACTTTTCTTGATCTCGAAGGCTGGAATCGTTTGGATACGTTGCTAATTAAACTTGGACAATTCAACAAAGCTCAAGAGATATGTGATACCCTGCTTGCTCAAAAGTCGACTGAAAAAGAAAAAGCGACTATTTATCATAGTCTCGCGATTGTCAAAGCGGGTCACGGTGAATATCCAGATGCCATTGCCTATGTTCAACAATCAAACAAAATTCTTCAGAAGATTGGCTCACCAATGGATGCCAATTTAGCTAGTTCTTACAACGCCATTGGCTTCATGTATGAAAACATGGGTGACTATTCTAATGCACTTCCATACTATCAAAAAGCACTGGCAATTCAGCAAAAAGCTCTTCCTTCAAACCATCCTTTTTTGACTACTTCTTACAACAATATTGGTTCAGCGTATTTCAAGATGTTTGAATATTCGAATGTACTTTCATATTATCAAAAAGCACTAGAAATAGAACAAAAAATTCTTCCTTCGAATCATCCGAGTTTGGATACTTCTTACAACAACATTGGTTTGGCGTATTCCAACACAGGTGACTATTCAATGGCACCCTCATTTTATGAGCGTGCACTGACTATTTTACAACGTTCAGTACCTGCAAATCATCCTAGTCTTCTACTTTTGTGGAAGAACCTCGAACGTGTAAAATTGAAAATGTCATTTTCCTTCTTGTTTTGTTCGAACAAATAAAATGAATGAAAATAAGAGTAATTTTCTTTTGTTTTTTGTAGAAAGGTACGAACGTGTACGTATACAGAAGCCATGTTTCATTCAGAACACAATGGAACGCTGCTCACCGCTAAAGTAACGCACCCATTTCTATATGATGAACATGTATTGTCAGTAAAAGACCTTCACGGTATAGAGTGTGATTCAACAAGGAGAGTTTCTCCGTGTCGAACAAAGATGTCCATCGCGGTTGAAAACCTGCCGCTGCCACGATGAACTATAAAATAATCATTCCGCTACCGCGCCACTGCCGCGATGGTTTTCAAAACACTGTGTTGAATTTCACTGCTGCGACTGTATTTAACCAGAAACATTGGTACGTGTGCATTAGATTCATTCAGTCGCAAGCTATTTTGTTTGAAAAACATAGAAATTCTATAAATGCACACAGTTTTAAAATGTCCCTCAAAAACAATGCTGCCGCTGCCGCACCGCTACCGCGACGATTTTTTCAAAAACCTGCCGCTACCGCCACCGCGGTGGCGACGCGGCAGTGGGAGCGCCGCCATAGACATCTCTGGTATCGAATACAGAGCCATCTAAAAGGTCAAAAGAAAAGAGAGGAAACAAAAAAATTTGTTGATTTGTGCAATGAATCATTTTTTCTTCTCCAATGTAACAGTAATTTATTGAATAAGCAAAAGAAAAACAGAAGAGAATGGTCATAGATTGAATGAATTGTTTCTGTCTTTACTTGAATTACTGTCGCATTTGAAATAGAAAGAGTAACAGAGGGCCGCGAGACAGTCGAAATATTGCTCTGTTACCATCTCGCTAAGAATCTAGGATATAAATAGATGTGTTTTTATCGACTTTTCAAACTGGCGTAAAAATTACTATTTCTTTTATTTCAAAACATCAAATTAAGTATAGGGCTTCTGAAAAATTATTGATGAAAAGAAAGTTTATATTTTATGATGGTTCTTTTGGATTAACTAATTTTTCTATTGATGATAGAGGAAAGTTCAAAGTTTTTATTCAATAATATGGATTTCTCAAATACTCTTATGAAGTAACTTTTTCAGATTCAATACACTACAAATGTCCTTTTTCAAGGTGTAGCTCCCTTTCAAACATGTTTATAACTATTAATAGAATTTTCTTAGTCATG